ACGAAATCTAACATTTCTCAAGACGAATTCTATATTAGTTATAATAGTATACAGATATAGTCGGCGGCCACTCTATCTATCTTATTCAAATATAATCTTCGAGGTGCACATGCATAATTTATGCGTACAATCTATTCACTTATTTAGATGACTGAAATCTATTTACATAAAACTAAGTGACTAACATTCAGACGACAGGTAAATGTCTTAATCATAGAAAAACCCTTGAAATATATACACAAAGTGATCATTATCACTTCTCTAATTAGATTATAAAGGTATTGTGAACCAAATAAATCAATTAATTAGACAATAATATTCCAAATATAACTATTACATACATGTATACACAGATACATATAACTGGTCAAAGTAACGTGTTCGTTCGTTTATTCACTTTATAAGGTGTATTTGCTGATATTTATTGTATAAATCTTATCAAGAATGAAGGCATGATGCACAGCGTTATATTTGTTTAATCTATTATAACAAAATTTATTTTTTCTCTTAAAAACAATATCAGTATTATAAAAAGTGTTGTGTATCAGTCAGTGAGTCATACAAAACGTAAAACCTGACACATGTAAAATCAGTTTAAATCGTCATAATACATTAGCTCAATAAGATAAATTAACTTTAACACAAATTCCAGAGTAGTAGAAATAGTAAGAGTATTAATGTTAGTAAGAAGAAAATCACGTATTAAAAAAGTATGATGAGATTTTGGGCCTCAGACTTGAAAGGAAGACAATAAGGGAATACACATACCTGCGTTATCTATTGCTAACACTTTCGAAGCATGTCACCTGCAAAGCCATGACGAATCCTGTATATACATATATTATCAATAAACTAATATGTACTTCTTTTAAAAACATTATTAATAGTAGGGAATTTTAATCTTCCAACTACAATTACTACTTATATCTCTTGTCCAATATTTCAATAAATTCATTATAAAATGAAATGAATGGTACATATTATTTTAAAATAATATAAATTTAATATTTTCGTAATTTAGTATTATCAAGTGACATAATTCAACATGTTACATAGAAACACAAAGAGAAAACAATTAAAACAGGAAGTACACTTAAATTATGGAGCAACAATCATAGTAACTAGTTTTATATTTATTTGAATGAAAATTCTTTTTAAATTTATTAAACAATGTTTTTTGAAACAAAAAATATAACCATAGAAAAAAGGTATTCATTATTACAATTTAAGACCTATAGTGATTAATTTTTACCAAGTAAAGATAAATTTAGTAGTGATGATACTTGTGTTTAAGTTCTTTATATATTTAGATAATTGAATGAATGAAACTTCTTCCTTTAAATAGAATATCATAAGTGAGTAACTATGTATTTGACTATTTTAATCAGTATTTATTCACAGATATCTAAATAAAAGTAGAGTAGTTGGAATTTGTGAGCTATTGGTTTTCAAGTTTGATATGCTCTAATTTACTAAACTACTGTGTTCCATAACATTGGAAGTATGTATTCTCAAAGAGAAACTCAATGTTATATAATGTACGAATTTAGATATACTCAATTTTGCTGGTTCAATATTAGTAACAAGTAAGTCACTCATGAAAATACTCGAATCCATGACTACTACTGTTGTGATGGGAAATTATGATGAAGATAGTTTATACGACGTTCAGAAAAGTGTATTAATTATCTATTTCTAGAGTGAAACAAATATTATTTAAAAGGGATTGGTTTATTTTTATAAAGCACTTAAAACTGTACACAAACAGATTCAGTTGAAAATTCAAAGATTTAAAGAAAATATTTGGATTGCTGTTTGATGCAACCTAATGAACTTCCACTTATGAGCTGGCAATCAAATATTGTAATACCAATAAAATTAATTAAATTATTACTGCATCATAATGAGTACGTACATGTATGGCCCGTAGTTACCGTACAAAATATACTGACTAATTGACTAAAACAATGCTTGAAAGTTAAGTGTTAAATCCACTAATGTACAAGAGCTCTGGGAGAAGTAAAGTATTTCCATAAACACATACAACACATCAAGCTATGGTATAAGCAATATTTAAAATACAATGTCATACTCACTACACAATGCATGAGAATTTTAGTGCTGATGAAAATTGTTTAAAACTATGGATTTATTACTGTCAGGTCATATAATCTAGAATAGACCACAGTGTGACCAACCACTAACTGTAAAGCTTAAAAGTAGATGAAAAGATAAACAGAAATCGACTTTGTCGCTTGTGTTCTACGAGAACAAATAATCAATCATTCACGAGATGAACAACTTAAAGATCTTGAATGGATACATACCATCTCATTTAGCGGTTTAAAATGAGTATTCAATACTAGTGATGTGTAATAAATATTACCATTAAGCGATAAATTTATATACATGATATATGATTTAGGTCTTTTCAAATGTTTTCCATTTATGATTTGTTTCTTTATTTTCCATACACTATGATTAACAGATTGATTTGGCATTTATAAATAGTAATAATAATAACAATAATAATAAGTAGTGAAAACAACAATCAAAAAATTAACAACTGAAACCGATAAATTCACTTTAGGCATGTAGGATTTTTCAGACACACAAAATACAACAATTAGAATGAATAGAAATAAGTATTCATTACTCTAATATTTACAATTTGGAACTGATTAATAGACTTATTTATTGCATATTTCATTTTGATTGCCATTAGTTAGACTCACATACAGTGTAAGCTTGAAAATGTCAAATAGGTATACATGAAAGAGAAGAAAAACACAACAACAAATTCTACAATTCTAAACCTAAAGATAATAAAATTTCATTCAAATGTAATTTCTCATTATTGAGATATAGAATAATAGTATAAATGGACAACAGTTTCATATATTGATCATAACTGACAACAATCAGTTTAGTAAATATTTGTAATAGTATGAATAGTATTAGTAATAGATAGATAAGTGTGAACACTTACCAAAAAAATTAATATAATGCCTAAATTTTATTCGGGACTAGATTTATAGAAAGGTCAACAAAAATTTAATTAATCTTAGTTGGGATTATCCTAAAACTTGAATGACATACATAATATCACCATAGATTAGTGGCAAATAACGAGTACCATTTGTTTTAGATGAAAGAAAATCATAAGAATGTAATGTGTGAGGCATACAAATGTTACCATTAAAGGATAAATTGGGAATTTGCAATTTTCCTTCAAGAAGAAATCACATTTAACAAATTCACAGATAGTAGTAAGAATTTATAAATAGTATGGGAGGCATTCAACTTTATAGTTTACAGCACAGACAGATCATAGTTAGACAAAAATGGAAAACCAAGAAACACTAGATAGATGTTTCATTCAAGTACGGAACTCATGTGCTGATCAGTAATTCATTTTGAGAGGTTTCCAGAGATCTAGAGAGAGGCTGTGACTAGTAGAAATCAACTACGTCGGGTGTGAGCCGGTTACCCAAAAGTACTATTAGAAGATGGTTGCGCAATATTGAGAACTGACCGAAGTTAAGCATGCAAGTGGATGTATACTACTGAGAAGTTCTATATCGATTTAATGCTTCTCAGTTTTCAATGGTTGTTTAATTAAGAACAGTTTTTAATGTAAACTAGAAAAATTTGTAATTCACACGGATGTATTAGATGATTTTGTTTTTATGTCGTTTTCGGTTAAAAGTGAAAAAGAAGACCGATATCCATGATGGCGATTAAGCACTGAAAAACGTACACCCAAAATGGTTTTTCAATAAAGTCAGTCAGTCAGTAACAACGTAGAACTTCGTACGTACGTACATCAGTTCGAGTTGCCACACCACATTAGCACAGAGATGCAGTTGTCGATTCAAATCCCGTAGTGGTAGAGGTAGCAAGAGTGTAAGCAGTAATCGGGAAGATTAGGGTTTGAAGATGTTATTTAAAGAGTATAATCTAGTGAAATAAATTTGGGAAGAGGAAAAAAGGGACATGAAGAATTCAGAAGATTAGAATTTGGGAGAACACAAAGAGTGGATGCACCTGCGCCATTGCAAACGATTTTGAGCCATGTCATTCAGGGTCTCTAACCATCGGTTGCTATCATCTCGCGGTCCCCAACCAGGTAGTCTGCACCTACCAACATGACTCAGTCCACTTGTCAGTGACTTCATGGACTTGTGCCATGTTTTGGTTTGGCCACTCCTAGCTTTCTTCCAACCTACTCCTATATCACTGAACATAGCACGTCGAGGCAGTCGGTCGTTGGGCATACGTAACACGTGTCCCAGCCATCTCAACTGATGAAGTCTCACTACTTCATCAATTGGTTTGTCATCCTTACCTAGTACCCGTTTCCTAACAACTGCATTACTTACTCGATGGTCCCACGATATACGAGCAATATTTCGAAGACACCTATGATCGAATACTAGTAACCTACGAATATCCTCTACTCTTACCGGCCATGTTTCACTGCCATAAAGTAGGACGGGACGAACTGCTGCGCAGTAAACACGTCCTTTGATTGATAGATGGATATCTCGCCTACGCCATAAATGACGCAAGTTGGCAAAAGCTAGTCGAGCCTTCTGTATCCGTGCTGAGATTTCGACATCAAATGATCAAGATATAAACACTTAAAGTACACAACTGTCATTTACAACTTAAGGTGAAACACATTAGGATTATTAAAAAAACATAGATTTTAAGAAAAAACAATACCCTAGAATAAATGTAAACGATACTCATGGTGATACCAACACAATTAACAAAAAGAATGAAAAAGATTTACCAGTAATGTGCAAATCACGTTTTGTGTACATGCTTTCTTATATTACCGGTAATGAACAATACAATTACACAACACTGTATACAATTAAGCAATAAAATAATTCCGAGTGACTTACAACAATCAAAGGATATGTTTAATACACACCAACTTTCGTAAAAATAGGAAAAGGTCCATCAATTATTCAAAACGTGTATACACTTACTTGTTGTTGTACAAATTGGTCTGTAACTACCTTGCTCAGATCATCATTATTATCTTCTAAGGATATAAGAGAGCCATTCAAAGCTCTTGAACGTTTAGCAGAATTTGAATTTTCTGAATTGTTTATTTCAAATAATGCGTGATGACAAGTAGAGTTCTGATTATTACTAATCGGATTATCAACTTGAGAAGAACCATTTCGACAAAGATCACATTTATTCTTATTATATACATCGTGTATATTCACTGAATGTGAATTGGTATACATGGTAGTAGTAGTAATAGTAGTAGTATTATTATTATTTGAAGTATCAGCAGATGTTTGTACAGAATTATCGCCATTCTTATTGTTCATAAATTGACTTTCAGAATGTGAATCAATTAGATCTGTATTAAAATTATTCTGAATATATATCAAGAAAACAAGAAAAAAATGATTAAGAAATCAGCCAGTAAAAATTTAAACACAGTAAACAGTCAAAGGCATAACTCATTCAGGTGATATTGGAATCCTGAACTGCTAATTACCAAGACGGGGGATGTTTGCCAGTGTAAGGATTGTGATTGGAAGAGAGCTATAAATGATCAAACCAACTCATGGCATCAATTCATGAAGCCATTGACTGTTGACCTGAGTTGTGCTGATAGATGCAAGCTACCTGGTTTAGGTCCGAGTGATAATCACGATCAGTGGGATGATATGATTTAGTATCGATCACAATGGAGTAGTTGGATTTACTCTTAATCTTACTCTACATCGTAAGTTTTAATACTCCTCCTTCATACCTTTGCTTTTTATCTTTTACAGCCATTTTCTCCATGCCTAATATTTATTATTATTATTGCCGCTACATTATTTCGACTCATTTCTTATTCGTCTTAACAAGACAAGAATAATAACGAAGGGAAAAAATCATTGTGTAGTGGCATGCGTCAGGTAGCAAATTGTTATCGACATCATTTAAATAAAACGTGATAGATTATTAGGTGCATTTGTTTCTTTTTTTGAAAGCACAATCTAAATACCCACTCCAAATTAAGTATTTTATTAGCTTACGTAAACCAACAACAATAAGTGAATTTGTTCAAATCCTCTAAACTTTTTCAAAATCATACACCTGAGCTACAAATCTTTTCTACCATCTCACCTCTTCACATTCAACTCCTTAAAACAGTAGCCGCTCTTGGCACCAACGAAATGAAGCCTAAACTGTATGTAAAAAATAATTACGCCCAATCGTTCTACTTACAGTGTCCTTAGACTATTATTATGATTTCATTTTAGTGGTTTCACATTTCATCTTTTTTTAATTATTTCTTATGTCATCGTGATTTTATTCATAATTAATTCTGATATCACTTCATTTTAATTAACTCTTCTGATACTTTTAATTACCGTGACCAAAACATTTTATTGCAATCATGAAACGATCTAAATTAGATCAATATCAAAAACCTGGAAACACTGGAGATTTTAATTAATTAATTTATTTGTTTACTTGAACACATAAATATTGGTACAAGAGGGCACCAAATATATATGCGCCACACAAAACAATGAGAATTTGAAGAGAAAAAAGAAGGTAAGTAGCGTGTAAGAAAAAAAGGACAATAACGACTACAGATTAGTGTAAGGTAGTGTGATAATAATAATAGTGATAATAATGATGATAATAATAATGAGGGAAACAGAAAGGTACAATCAGAATAAATCTTTCAGTTAAGGAAGATACAACCATTTTTTATGAAGAAAGTAAAAGAAGGTTACAGCAGGATCGCCATTGGCTTCTATTGTGAGCCACATCTAATAACGTCTCTGCACCATCTCTCGTACCACAGCCAGGGAGTCGTGAAGGGCCAACAGAAGCCAGTCCTTTGCAGCTTTCTTTCATACCACGACACCATGTCATACACTGACCACCTCTCCACTTTTTCCAACCAGCCCCAGCGTCGGCAAATAATGCACGACGTGGAATCCTCTGGAACGACATTCGTAGAACATGCCCAATCCACCGAAGTCGGTGTTTCAAGATGGTGACACCAATTGGATTATTGTCTCTATGCCTGAACACGCGATGCAGAACCTCTGCATTACTGACATGGTGTTGCCACTGGATGTCAGCAATCCTTCGGAGATAACGATGATCAAACACAGAGAGTCGTCTAACATCCTCAACTCGGAGAGGCCATGTTTCACAAGCATAGAGCAAAACCGCTCTCACCAACGCGTTGTAAATCCGACCTTTTACAGTCAGACTAACATCATGAAGGCGCCAAAAATGGCCCAGATTGGCATAAGCCGCTCTGGTTTTCACTATACGTACATTGATCTCATCACTCACGCCACACCATCCACATTCATTCCTAACTTGTCAATTTTACAAGACATTTTTTATTGGAAAACATACAACACTTTAATGTTATTATTTACACCATTTACATCATATTTATTCATTATTTATATATCCTCATAGAATTAATGCTTATATGATTGAACAGTATGATAATAAATTTTTACAGAAGAGGTCCTTTTGCTAAACTTCGTGTTTCCAACATACGAATTATCAAAAATACAAAAGTATACAATAAATAAGTCTTAGTTCTCTATAAGAACATACTTTACACGATTATTCAGGGTGTAATGTGTATCGATGATAAATAATAATGAGGAAAATTCACGCCTAAAGACACAATAGCCGAAATGTAAGAAACATGGTTTTTTTGGTTGAAAAAAGTCCCCATTAATTTGTCGTACTGTATAAAAACGCCTAATTTATATTTTTATATGTAAAATGGTGGAATAATTTATGGATGACAAGAAGAAAATATGAAAAAACGCCCATATATTATGACTTGAGAGAATTTTAATATTATAATTATAATTATATCATATGATATATTAGTTTACTTAAGAATTCAGCAAAAATTAATTCAAGTTAATAATTAACATAGATATTACAAATTACAATATCAAGTATAACTTATGGTAGAAAAAGGATTGACTTTACAATTCATCAAGATGACTTTCTGAATGATAATTTGCAATCAGTTGAAAATCATTGTAAAATAAATGATTGTTAGTATAAGTAATTTGACGATTCTTGTACTATGATTTTACTCTCATGTGATGTGTGAAATAGAATTTTTTTTTAAAAAAAGAGATACAATACTACATAGAAGAGATTCAATAACAAGATGCAGTATACATTCAGTTTTCTAATAAATAGTTGTACTAGCATTACTTCCTGATGAACATGTTGTCTATAGTACAAATTATATTACATTGTAAACATGTATTGCATTAATTGTTAACAGAATGAACAGTTACTAGTATAGGGGTTGTGGAGATTATTAAGTTTTTGATTGAGATCATGAACCGATTGATGTTAGACCATCACAATTGAAAACCTGGAAGCACTGGACGGCCGTTTCGTCATATTGTGGAACTCCTCAGCAGTGCGCATCCACGATCCCGCGAGCGGGATTCGAACCCAGGGCCTTCGGTCTCGCGCGCGAACGCTTAACCAACTGGACCACTGAGCCGGCATCCAATGGTGATCTCAATCAAGAATGAACAGTTGTTGGTTGGTAACTACTTCATTTTACAGTCAGTTATGAAATACCTAAAATACAATTTTCAGATCAAATTATACTACTTTTTATCATGACAAATTATTTCTTCATTTTAATGTATTTATATCGGTGAAATGATAAATTTTCTACTAACGAACACACACATGATATTGAATAATTTCATTGAGTACATCTAATTAAACTAATTAAGAAAGACGTTAATTATAAGTTAAATTTTTGTTTAAAATGATAGAAGAATCGAAAGTAAATCACCGCAATAGAAAGATTATTAAACCTGACTTTAAAAGATTCCAATTTAGTGCTTATATTGTATGCAAATTAATTCTTAAAAGAAAAGAAAAGAAAACAAGATCCTCAAATATGTGATGTCATACATTTGGATCTCTCGATAAATTTTAAATAAAGTGAGAAAAACAAGATTTTGCAAAATAATATGAATTCATTATATTTCAAGGCTTCTTCTCTTCAGCTGGGAACGACCTAGATTCCACAACAGTAATAATATTAACTCCGCCTTTAGCTCTTCTAGAGTTACTGCCGGTCCCAAGCCTGGGTTAAGGGGAAGGGTTGGGTATGAGGTCGACAACCCCATCCTGTAGAGAAAAAACTTTCTAAAAAACGCCAACCAGATTAAACAAATTAAATGGTTTAAACTCTGTTCTCCATGTTCAAGAGAGAATTATGTTTCAGGATGAAAGCCAAGATTCTTCGGAAGTCACGAGACTGATGCCACTTCTAACTACCAGAGCAACAATTTTTATAGGTACATGAAACGTCCGGACAATGTGGGAGACCGGAAGGACCAGTCAAATAGCTACGGAAATTAAGAGATACAACTTGGCAGTACTTGGAACCAGCAAAACCCATTGGACCCAGGCTGGACAGCAAAGGCTAGATACGGGAGAGGTGCTGCTATACTCCGATCACCAAGGGGAAAATGCTCTACACACTCAAAGAGTTGCTCCAATGCTGTCCAAAGAAGCACGAAATGAACTTATAGAATGGGAATCTCATGAACCCATGATCAGCAAAGCATCCTTTAAAACAAAGGAGGGAATCACGATGAATGTTATTCAAAGTTATGCACCCACCAATGATAGCAACGACGACAATCAAGACCAGTTCTATGAGAAGCTTCAATCAATCATCGCGCAGTGCCGAAGAAAGGACATCACCATCCTGATGGGAGATCTAAACGCCAAAGTCGGAATGGACAACACCGAATATGAGGATATCATGGGATGACATGGACTGACTAGGATATTGTAACGAGAATGGGGAGATATTTGCAATTCTATGTTCATTTAACAGAATGATTATTGGTGGCACAATATTCCCCCATAAACGCATATACAAAGCTACATGGGTCTCAGTGGATAACACTACAGAGAATCAGATCGATCACTAAAAAATTCAAAAGGTCAATGAGAGACGAAAGACTAAGGAGAGGAGCTGACATAGCTTCAGATCACCACCAACCGGTGGTTGCCAAGATGAAACCGAAGCTAAAGAAACATTGGACAGCTGGGGGAACAGCAGTACAAAGGTTCAATACAGGCTTCCTACGAGATACTAACAAACTCAACGAATTCAAAATAACTCTCAACAACAAGTTCCAAGCCTTACGGGATCTACTGAAGGAAGAAGAAACTACTATGCAGGACAACTGGAAAGGGGTCAAAGAAGCATTAACTTCAACGTGTCAGGAGGTGCTGGGCCGCGAGAAGCATCATCATAAGGAGTAGATCTCTATAGCAACCCTGGACAAGATTCAAGAAAGGCAGAACAAAAAGACAGAACTTAACAACAGCCAAACACGAGTAGAGAAAGACAAAGCACAAGCTGAATACACAAAGTTACAAGTGAATTAGTTCTAACCAAGTTGGTAAATAACAAAATAATTAAGTTTTTAAAATATCCTTTTTATATTAAGTGAAAATGTACAGAAAATTTTATCTATATATTAACTAGAGGGACATTCATCACAGCTCAATCTCAGTTGAAATTTCCAAAACGAATGCACTGTTACTACCTCTAGTACGCTGGAATTTGCCGTAAAACTTTCATTTCGCTGTGTTAATGAAACGTAGCAACTTGAACGGAAAAAATGTTCCATGACTAGCTTTGATTTCGAAAAATATTTGCATTCACTGGGGTACAACCAGGGGATGGTGGAAGAAAGTGAGGGGCGGCCAAACCAAAATGTGGCATCAGTGCTTGAAGTCACAAACTTCTGGTCTGAGCCATGTTGGTAGATGCAGACTACTTGGTAGGGGGCCGCGCGACCATCGTAACCAATGGTTGGAGACTATAGGTAACATGGCTCAGAATCTATCACAATGGCGTCGGTGTATACACTTTTTATCTTCGCTTAAACCATGAGATTAAAATTACTTTATACATTTCTTTCTACGAACTAATTCTTTCTTCCTGTATTATGTTTTCATATGCAATCTTTCTTTTACATATTATCACCACTGAATTAAGTACTTCTGTGAATTCGGTGTTCATCTTGTTGTGCTAATGAGGTGTGTCAACTTGGACTGATGCATATACATGCCTCGTCCTAGGTTGTAACTGACTGACTGACAACCAAATGATGATTGATCTGTAGTATCACAGGAAAAGTCAATCACGAATGAGTCAGCTTAGGTTATCATAGTATATTAGAATTTTAAAAAAACGAAATTGACAATATATTATTCATTCTTCGTGATTAGTCGATCTACATATGTGCCAGTTTCTACGCTGCTTATAACTGACTGATTAAACTAACCTTAATCAAATGCCTTGGTAAGCCCGAGAGTGGGGAGAGCCACACGTATACAGCCACTTCCAGGAAAGTCCTGCTCACTGTCTTCTCGTGACGGGGGTGTTATTTGCGAAATTGAGAGGACGAAAAGCGAATGTTCGACGGTTTAACCGAGTTGGCATACACGGAAGGTTTAACTAGGGGATTTAGAAAACCCTGATTCCAAACCAATGGTGCACAGGATCCTGAGGGGAAAAAAAGTGTACAAACTTATTGTTGGTCACCGGCTAACATGGGATTGCATCTCCTAAAGACGCTCCACTGCCCTGTAGATTAGACCTCTAGGTCAAGGGCTCGGGGAGTGCCCTCTAAGAAAACCACCTCCCATGGCTCGGGTACCCGAATAGTATATCAGCCTTCACACGAATCAAATGATGAAGTGTGATTCATATGATGATTAGTGAATTGAAAATGCGGGGCGACACTAAGCTTACAGCTTGGGAAAAGAGAAAAAACCCATCTGCCGAAATGATACTTATTTTAAGCTATAACCCAAGTCCTGGAATAAGCTGAATGTACGGAATGCTTTGAATGCATTTATGTTTAAATAATAGCAATAAACAAATAGAAAAAGTGTGAAAGATTGCTAACGCGGTTTTTGTATTTTTTTAAGATTCTGGAAAACCCTAATGGCACGAAATCTGCCTTGTGGATTAGACCTTCAGGTCGAAGGCTCCGGGTGTGGCCCCCTAGGAAAACCACCTGCTTCGGTTAGGGCACCCGTGCAGTATCATAGCCCTTACACAAATCAATCACAACTGTTACTGGTCTCATTGTTATTGTGTGGCGCATATGTATTTGGTATCCCCTTGTACCAATATTTATGTGTTCAAATAAATAATAAATCTGAATGATAAATCCGAATCTTATTGAAGTAAGATAAGCTTAACAAGGTAACACTATGTGTCAGAATTTTGAAACTGATAAAAATTATAAGAGTGGGTCAAGTATCCCTTTATTGGATAAGAAAAAGAGAATTCAGCGAAGAAAATTTTCTTTTCGACGAAATCATTTACTTAAGCTGTACATTCGTACATATAGTTATATGGAAAATGTATGTCTGTAGAAGGATAGAAAGAGTTGTATCACAAAAATGGATTCGAGAATAAATAACAAGTGTACAGCTTAAGTAAATGATTTCGTCGAAAAGAAAATTTTCTTCGCTGCATTCTCTTTTTCTTATTCAATGACACGATGGGTTATTTTAATTATCTCTTTATTAATAAATGTCAAAACAAAATTGACTATAGGACGGGTAAACCTGCAGTTTTTTTGTTGTGGGTGAAGATAAACAGCATTACTTGGTTAGCTATTCGGAGCCGGTGAGACCGAGTCATGAGACAGCTGACCATGGACTCGTTAAATTTGGGACAACAGCCGGTAGTAACATTAATTGACTATTGGTCTAGAATGCAACTTCCCATACTCCCCCTCCCGGTAGCCCGAATAGAGGATAACTCAGCGGGCAGACAGCTTTTAATTATACAGTTCGAATGCATGAATCAATTAAACACTGATACCGAGAAAAATCATGGTCATGCATCAACAGAATTCAGAAATTAGGATACTGACATAACCATGTCACAAGTGGAAGTCAACTGAGTGATAAGTTCGTAATAAGTTAATCACAATTCAGAAAAGGTAAAACACATAACAATCATTTGTGTCAGAGAAAGGGTGAGAAGTAGAAAAATACAAAAACATAATGGTTAAATTATTTAATAGTGATACAAAATGATAAACAATAACTTCAGATAGGACAGTTTCGAAAATTCACTTACGTTTAATATTTATTCCGAAACGGTAATTCCCACATTCAGTGAGTGAACAACGTTGATAAACTGAGTTTCGTGAGTAGTTATTCATTAGCTGTATATCATTTCGCTCAATCAGTTTATCGGAATTCAATCATTTATCTATACTTTTAAAGTCTAACGATCAAGAACGTAATCAGAATATTCAATATTTACTTAGCACCACGAAGTCCGAGAGTTCCCTGATAAAATTCATCAAACTCAATGTAATCAGTCAGAAAGTCAAACGCAACGTGGAACCTAGGACACTTGTATATCGATTTAAGTTGCCATGCCCCAATCAACACAGAAAGATGAAATCATCAGGAAAATCCCAGAGTAGAAAAGGTAGTAACAATATTAGTTGTAACAGAAAGGATTAGGCATCAAAGAAACTATTTGAGAAAGTATAAAATAGCGAAATAAAAAAATCATGAGGAATTAAGAGGCCTAAGGTTCGGGAGAAGAAAAAATAACGAATGCACTTGTGCCATTGTAAACTATTTTGAGCCAGGTCACCCAAGGTTTCTAACCATTGGATACGATAGTCACATGGATCCCAACCAGGTAACCTACACCTATTGACATGGCTCCGTTCAATTGTCAGTGACCTCATGGACTGATATCATGTTTCAGTTTAGCCACCTTTAGCTTGTAACCCACTCCTACACCAGCCTTCATCACGCATCGAAGTAGTCAGTGGATACTTAATATATTAACCCCAAAGATAATTACCAGTTTCAATTACAATTTTACAAAATAAAACTACTCCATGTTTTATTCTTCTGTTTATCAAAGCCTAAGAAAACAATAACAACAAATCTAATTTTAGGAATTCAATAGCATCCTCACAAATTGTTTGGCAAGTGATTAAGTGTTTAGAACAATAGATCACAACAGGTCACAAATTCACTACATCAAATGTTTTAAAAATTTTAACTTACAGAATTTTTATTCGTGTGATTATCATCAGAAATTGTATTGAAGTTAGAAGATTTCTGAGATTTTGCTTTTCGTTTATTTACAGTTATTTCTAAGTTAGAAGTAGATTTACAATTATCCAGTTTTTCATTATCAATTCTTTCCAAATTAATCACTGCATGAGTAGTAAAATGATTTGTATTATTATTATTATTACTACCATGGTATAAACGATTTATTTCACTTTGATCTTGTGAATGTTTTGCTTCCAACTCATCAATTTCACGTTCCATACGAACTAAGTACGGTAGATCAGTGAGACCGTAACGACTTGCAATACGTGCAACCTCCATTAGGGTAAGCAAAACATTTTTCTCTTCGGTCTTATTCACTAAAGATGAAAATATTATTAGATGAAAAAAGCATTAAGAGTTAAGCGAATCCATGGAATAAAATTAGTGGTAGTAGTATTCTTTGAATTTAATTAATCGATCATTATAAAGAGAAGCTTGATTTGATAAGCGCACAATTTTAGAAATATCGTAGCAAGAGTGACCTTGAAATTTTTATATCACTTGTAAACCATCAAGTAAATCAACAACCGAAATCAAAAGTATGTTACTACAATAACAATGAGTGTGTATAACGCTTTATTTATAACCTGTACGATCGATTTTTTCAATGTTAAAGTAGATTATTTTCAATTCAAAGAGTAACTATAGGAAAGCATATATTGTATGCTGATCATAAATACTTTTATAAACGAAATCATATATTCTTTTTTAAAATATTTATACGAAGACTCGCCAGAAAGCCGATGAAATAACTTCGTGATGTGATAACATGAAACGAAGTTTTCCCTAAGTTTCCAAACATTTGTACGACATTAAAATGCCTAATTTTCTATACGTCACAACCGATACGATTTAGTTCAGAATTTACTTTAAACAAATGCGAAAGGAATGAGTCTTGAATAAATGGTGTTTCTGATAGAATCTACAACACATTTAAAATTTTCATCTAATTTCTATATCCTATTCTTTGTACGACGTCAGGAAAATACTTTTTAAAGAGAGCAAGAACAAAGGTTGGTCCAGAATAATATGAATTCATTTTAGTTCGTTCTCATCAGCTGCTGCTTACAACCTAAAATATTTGAAATTCAACGTTATTATAGATATTGACATGCTTATACATCAGAGGGTGATGAAGGATAAATATATGTAACATGATGTAGCAAAGATTTCGTTAGAGTTAATGAGGTCATAAAATTTTGTTTCGAATATATAGAGTTTGAGAGGGAAGGTTCCAGAACATTGAAATAGTGATTAGAAATCATGGAATTAAAACACATTAGATTATTATGCAATAAAATAACTGAAAATAGATTAATGGTAATAAAGAGAGATATGAATTGAAATCGATCAGTTATGAATGATGTAATTATAAAATTCAGAAAGCGTTGGAATGACGTAATAAATAAGTGGGGGTAGGGTAATGTTACCAGGTAAAAGAAAGGTTCATTACTGTTTTTTTGTATACAAAGATCTGGTTTTAAATGTTTGATTGCTGTCGCTTCGGCAAATTTCAAAAGGTTTGAATTTGATTGTTTGTTGGTCACCTTGAAGGACTTCAATATATCGACTTCGTGTCCTGTGTCAAGGAGATGTCTTGCGATAGCGCTGCTGAATGCTTTTAGTCCATTTGATCTCAAACCCTTCGAAATATGTTCTTTGAATCGGACGTAGGCTCTCCTTTCTGTTCTACCAATGTAACTGCTTTGGCAGATACATGTAAATTTGTATACACAGTTGGTGGTAACATGAAAGGGATACATGTCGACCTTTGATTGTGTCAAAGAACATGTTGTTTTGGACAGGACAACCAATTTAGCTACAGGATATGTTTTTGTCATTGCAGTTTTTAGTCTCATATTGACTGATCCTGTGACATCGTCACCCTTGAATTGAAGTTGAATAAAAATAGGCTTTTTATTTACTGTAATTTCTTTGGGTTTTTTATCTTCACGTTTCCCATATTTCTCAATAAATCTCAATGGGTAGCCGTTATTCCTTAAACACTTTTTAACATTCATAACTTCCTCTTCTATTGTATCGGCAGTACATATTCTTTCCGTTCTGTCAAACAATGTTTTGACCAGTGCCTTTTTGTAACTGATTGGACAAAAGCTGTTGAAATAATAAAGGGAACTATTTGCATGAAAACAGTTTTTTCTTATCACTTGTAAACTATCCAAAATGAAACATACCACTTATAAACCTCATCATAATATTCAAGTTACTTCTCATAGAAACAATAAACATCGCTATCTTCATCCTAATTAGTTTTTTTTTGTTTTAAAGCATGTTTGCCAGAAATCAATTGATGCAAGCAAATAAACATACATTAATGAAGATGTAAGAAGGAAAAACCATTTTGAAAAGGATAAAAAATCAAATTAAATTTCTTTTCTTGTTGAAACTATAAACACAGATATCATTTGAATTGCGTCAAACATTGACTTATGATATGGATACACTATTAAGTTGATGAAAAATTTACAATTTCCTTCTGTTATTTACTTTAATTGTAAAATAACACATAATTTTGACATGATTAATCAATCTACTCATTTTGTTATATGTGACAATATTATGTACATTAATTTAAAACTGTTTCATACAGAAATGACAAATTATTAGTCTTTTGAACTTAATTATCAATATAACTAATGATGTTTGTTATTGGGAATTATGATAATTTTCTGTGAAAATTTCTTAGTTTACTAATGTATACAATAATAAAACTTTTACGTATTAAATATTTACTTAATACCACCTTATCAACTGGTTTATTAAAATCATATGATAGTGTTAATATGAAAATAAAACTGAACATTTATGCGTAACATTTGTGAATGTTCCAAAAGGAAAAAAAAGCAATGTAGTTTAGTCAGCATTTCTCATACAAAAAGAAAACACTCTGTTGTTAATTATTGTGAATGTATGTGTTATAAAGGTAAATTACATGTAATTATAATAGAATATAAAGTATAGATAACGAATACTCTATGTAATTAATCCATGTATCACTACTAAATATATCAGGATTAAAGATTTAATTTTGAGGAGGCGTATTACTATTATTATTACATGATAATACAATTAATATGCTTCGATAGTTATTAAACAGTATCATCTTATTAATAAGAATCGGTAGCAAACTAGTTATATTTTATGTTAATCATTGAATACACAACTATTCAACGATGAAGTATAAAAATAATTATATTTAGTAAGATGAAATTACAAAATTGTATTCTAAGTGATGACTCAATCACGATTATAGAATTAGAAAAAAAGAGTAGGTGATATGACACTGAATAAGAAAAAGAGAATTCAGAGGAAATTTTCTTCTTAACGAAATCATTTACTTAAGCTGTACATTAGTATATATAGTTATATGAAAAATATAGGTCTATAGGAGGATAAAAAAGATTGCATCATAAATTGATTCAAGACTCTTATTATGAAATGAGGTTACGTACGAATCAATGGGAAAAGGAAGACCTATATTTTCCATATAACTATATATACGAATGTACAACTTAAGTAAGTGATTTCGTCGAAAAGATATAACGTTATGTATAAACCTCAAAATATATCTTAAATGGATGTTTCCTAGTATATTCTACACTTGAAATAATCAACTATTTGTTTAAGCTTTTGTTTATTTATTTATTTATTTCGTTCTTCTTTCTGTATAAGTTTAATAGTTAAATCATATTGTGAATTCTTCTCAAATAACGAGTGTAATTAATGGATTAATATTATCATAATAATAATATTAATGATAATATGTAACTGATGTCTTTGTCTTATTTTATATCTTATGCAATTAATTATATCATTATAGAGTTCATTAATGTATTCATAAAAAGTAATTTTTCTACAAATAAAATTTATATAGAAGTAATTTACTTAAGTTATATTTATCACGTGTTTTTCTTTCTTCTAAAATCAATTTTAGATCTATGGTATTCTCCTTAATCATAAAGAACTTTTGGTTCATCATGAAAACTATATTCCAGTTTAATTCTATTAAATTATAAATATATTATAGAATTATTAACTATTTACTATTATACATCAATTAATTGTAATTAACGTAGAATCTAATACAAACATATATTGTCTTATAAGTTGTCACATATCATATCAACATACATAGTAAGATAAGATGATCAAGTTGCATAGTTAAGAAATAGAAAATATCAGAATGGGTTTTGTGGAGAGTTTTAGAAATTTTCACAGGTTGAAATCATGAGTCAGTTGAAGCTAGACCACCATTGAAAACCTGGAAGCACTGGACGGCCGTTTCGTCTTGGTATGGGACTCCTCAGAAGTGCGCATCCAGCTGAGGAGTCCCATACCAGGACGAAACGGCTGTCCAGTGCTTCCAGGTTTTCAATGGTGGTCTAGCTTCAACTGACTCATGATTTCAACCTGTGAAAATAGAAAATAAGAGTAACATCAGTACGAGTAAAGACATACTTTACATAATAGTATACTGATACGACTAAAAGATTTAGGCTGAACAACATTTGAAAATTTCGAAGTACTAGATGGCCATTTTGTCCTAGTATAAGGCTCTTTAGAAGTGAACGTTCATGAAATGGCCATTCAATGCTTCCGAGCTATCATCTAATTTAAATAGGTTTTTGATATCAATAAAATAGAATCTTCATCGTAAACAGTAGGCAAATTTTTCGGTGTCCTACAAAACATAATCATCGATATAAAAAAATTTTAAAAGGATATACGTAAAACCCTCTCAATATGAAACTTATTATTCAAGAAGGAATTAATGAAATTGAGCTGCAAATTGCATTCAGAGTATAAAAATTAATCAAGCTAACTGACTTTAAATATCGAAGATTGGGTCCAGCATAATCAATGTTTCAATGAATGAATATCAACTGAATTACTTACTCAATAGGAAACTTTTTTATCTGAATTTAATTAAACCAGTAAAATCCATGTATTAGCTGATTGATGATAACAACAAACTATGACTAGCTAGTAGTTAGTTAGAGCACATTCCCTATTTGTCTGTTAGGTGCTAAAAATAACAGACAATAGTAGTAGTAGTAGTCGCAGTAGTATACAAATTTTCTCTCATTATTCTAAGATCACGTTAACTGATAAATATGTGTAAAGCAACTAAGCTTTTGAAAAAAAAAACAGAAAACTAACAGTAAAGTACAGACTGCTTTTATACACCTACTTTACACTTTAAAGAATAGACTTCACAAACTTATGAATATAGTCACATGATGTACATTGTTGAATAGTAAAAATATTTATTTCTCATTAAGACTAGATTTATCATTTTATCAGGAACTAATAAGCCATCAAAAATAATTTACAAAATTATTCTGAATGAGAAGTAACAAAAGGTAGAGATGGATGGTAGCTAGCAGTGGAACCCAGAATGTGCGTTTCGTCCTGTTTGGTATTCGTCAGTTGGGTGAAGCTGATGTTATTGATGAAGTTGGTGTTCACCCCGGGACTCGAAAGAAGTACCCTCCACTTCAAACGTTATCGCATTGTCCATCTAGCTACTGAGTCCAGATAGCCACTAGATTGTGCAATGAGGTGAAGTCTAATTCATTTGTATTGGTTGGTTGAATCTTCTCATCAATGTTCGGGACTGCAAGCGATCAGTCTCTTTTGGCATTTCTGCAGGCTGTGTGGATCACCTCGATATTGCCTTAAGTCACAAGCATTATAAGCAAAGATCGAAGTTGGTTAACAGACCGATCAATTTCAGTCCTAAACTTCAATGGGAGGATTCAAACAACCAATAAAAATGAAAAGTAATAACAGTTTACAACTATCAATATTTAGCATTTTGACGACATTATAAGGAAAAACTACGCTGCTCAGACAATTAATCCGAATCTCCGTTGTAACAGTAACAGACAACAAAGAACATGTGTCAACCGTTGTATTCAGTGATAGTTTACTGACTTTGTTCCTATAAAACTTCACATTGGACTTCAAAAGTTGATATAGTGGGAAACATTCGTAGTTTAGGTGGATAATTTGGTGAGGTTTCGTCTGCTGAGTTGGAGTAAACCTCACAGTCGCTTACATAAGACTACACTTTTATCGCACCACCGGTCGAATCCACGGCGACGGGAGTTTCGTCTTAGTATGGGGATCGTGGATATGCACTGATGGGGAGTCCTATACAGGAATGAAAAGGCAATCCACTACTTCCAGATTTTCAATAGCGGTCTAATTTAGACCGGTTGATGATTTCATTAATGAACAATAGTCTGACTGAATAGTTACCTGTATAATGACAATCATGACCAGAACCCATGACGAACAATAAGCACGGAAAACGGTTGCATTTCCAATGAAAGAAACAAACATTACGCTAGTGAGTTCACTATAATATCGTGTAAACAAGTTTAAAATAATCAAATAATTCACTAACTCGAAATTTATAACGTCATTTATGGTGAATCGATCAATGAGGGTCAATCCTGTATTTGATCAATACTCTGAGTAATCATGGTGAGTAATAAAGATACAAAAATTTAGTGATAAATAAACAACTTTAATACCAGTAAAATATTACTATTAGAAAGATAGTAAAAGACAAACAAACACATTCAAAATAACCTATAGTGTTTACTACTACAACTGATTATATATAAACAATATGTGGTCTTATTATGCAAATAAATATATTGAAGTTATTAAATAGAAAGGAATTCTGAGTCAAGAGCTACAAGTTGTCAAACTTCGATAATATTACTCAGTATGACTGAGAGGGTTATTTATTCTCACTTTCAAATTGATTAACTTCATAAATTACTCCATGTTATTCAGGTGGAAATTCTTTTCTAAGAAAAACTTTACTCAACATTTGAATAAGTGAAATCAACTGATTGGAAGATATTCCTCATCATGAAGAGACTTAACTGGTTTAAATTCAAAACTACACGCGATTGGGGATAAGCACTGGTTGAAAAATCCAACCTTTGATTCAAAACAATTATCCAAAGTTTTATAGTCCTAAATTAGGACAAAAGAGCTTTACGTTGCTACTCAATCATTCAGTAGTTTTCTATGATTCATGTTACTTTCTCACGAACCTATCTCTAAAGTTACTGATGTCTTGTAATTACTATTAACATTTATTTGAGGGCTCCGTTAGATTTACCAAGTAGTTTTAAGTATGACATTCCTATCATTCTATTAAATTATCGGAAGTAAATATTTTTCCTCAATTTAAGCATACATGATTGTAGACGAATTAATTAACTTACTTAATCCATTTGTTTCAAATAATATTGTTTCTGGTACACCCAAATCTTTGCACCATTTAATAAACGCACTAACATTATCACGAGCTATCCAACGATCAGCAACTCGAGATTTTATTGAGATATTTTCTTTAGGAAAATCCATATCACAATTTGGCATATTTGAATTACGTTTATGAGTAGAAGGTTGTGATGAAAAGGAACAGAGATCTGACGGACCAAGTGGTAGTTTAGCACAATCCGTTAATGTGGAGGGAAATGATGGTAATGAAACTGGAGTAAGATTTTTCAAGTCACGATTGGACACTGCACCTCTCAGAAATTCATATGAACGACCATTATTATTATTGTTATTATTATGTGTTGATTTTGATTTTAATGCAATTTGATAACCTGATTCCAAAATCGAATAATGTAGTTTATAAGCTAGTCTAGAAAGCCACAGACCTGATGCTAAACGACAAAGTAGATAATGTGCTTCTATGGGACATGCGTTAGCCGTTGAAAATAAATAATGTTGTAACCATTCCGTAAGATCTTCACGAACGACACACATAGATTCGTCAAGTATCTGAGAATTCAAAAAAAAACATAAGAGTTCTTTTAAAAGTATTGTATACACATAAAACTAAAAGAAAACAATGAATCTACACAGACATGTACAAACAAGTTAATGAACTGATATTATCATGGTTAATTCTTATTGTCCTACATTACATATCAGTGATCAATAAAACAGGATTTTAAGGTGAATGTTATCCAAAAAACAAAGACTGTTGGATCGACTACTGTGTAAAATTAACTTTCAACACTAATTCTTTTTAGTTTCCTGAACTCTGAAATTGGGAAGCAACTTAAATTTTTTTAAAAAGAATTATTTCACAAAGCATTGGCAATTGGATAACTGATAAGTGTGTGCTACTAAACAATTCAATATCAGTAACAAAAGTGGTCGTAAAATATTACAGACTGAAAAGGTTACAGTTAACACATAAACCGAATTAAGAACAAATTTACAAGTGACGATGCATTAGGGATGTAGTTGATACCCTTCACGGCAGAGCTGAATCATTTACTCGTAGTATTCAACCATGTCTCGGAGAGGAATACTCTATAGAAACAGACAGACACGGAGCAGCAGAAAAAACTTTAGGCACATGTTACAATGTCCCATATCAGTATGCTCAAAGAAAACTAACACGAGGAAACAAAAGAACAGAATACTGATGATAATCCTAGTAAGTATGAGAAAGTAAGAGAATAAAGACATTATGCACAAATAATTTCAAGGGACACAAAACAGACAATAACAATAAAAATGGATTTCGGCTATTGGGTTAGACTTTGAGTCATGTCACTCAAAATGTCCAACCATAAATAAAGATTAAATTCCAGATCATGACTAAGAAGCCTACACAATCATACAATACAATATTCAGAAACTCAGATTGGGCGGTGGTCTAATATGGTTGCCCATATTTAATTACGTTCACAATAATTTCGTCTAGATTTCTAACTATGAATATTACTTTCTCGTGATAGACAAATGGGATTTATTCTGTGTAGTGTTTCTTACTATGAGTTGTTACTTTAAATAAGGTAGGCCAAAAACTACAACTGATATCTATGATTTTCACTTGTTTATTAGTGATTAAAGGCGAAACTATGTCAACTTACATACATGCATCAGTCACACCCGAAATTGTGACTCATCTTACAATACATAACAAGTCAAGTTATACTAACTACCAATCACTAGATCAAGAAACTATAATGCCACACCCCATTGATAATTATAAAGGACGAACTTTATCATTTATAAATTTATACATATAAGTGTGATGTCATTGTATATTTGACTATATATATACTTTCAAAGGTTTTATCTTCGTAACATTACATATATTATTGTATACGATCATTTCCTCTTGTGGACCATACATTAGTGACAGTGTAAGTTTTGGCTTAATTGAACCAAGGGAAGTTACAACTAAAAGATTTTCTCAAGCATGATTCCCAATGACCCATCTCTTCGCTTTATCCTCCCTATCATAAGACTAGATTGGAAAACATACTAATAGCAGCAACACTGAAACATTGCAGTAGTCGGTGAAGACGCTATACGTTGGTCTAAGTCATAAAAAAGTGTAGGCTATCGGCGATTGGATGACTTAAAGCTTTCTATAATAGCCAGCATACACTGAAAGTACTGTTCTCTATCCTACATTTTCTGGTCTCATTTGTGTATAAGGTCTTTATTCTTTTACTTTCTTATAACTGCTGGCATTGTTATTAGTAATCCGCTTTTTTGCCTTTCGCTTGCTAGTTTCCCCTGACTTTGCAGCTCTGAAGTGTTTCAACTTCATGAAAACTCATTACTCATCTTTTGTGCTTCGATAGAATAATCGGTGAGACTATAATTTATGGACGACTTTTTAGAGACGCTAAAAAGACCTTGAGAATGTCTATCTACATACTACGGCTAAATGATGATTATAAACCAGTGTGAGGAATTAGAATTAATATTTACAGTTGATAGTTAGGGTCAGGAATTAGATTTAAGGTTTTTATCACGAACTGACATCAGCTATAATGCAAAAACTTTGTTTAGTCAAATGAACGAATTAATTTTGCACCAAAATTCAAGACATGTTATCACAAATATGATTGGTTCGTCTGTAAATCATAGTCTCACCGATTCGTCATGTTGCAAAAGACTCATTGTGCACCATATATTGTTCTTGTAAGGTGATAATTCAACCTATCTATACAATCGTTACTGTTTTTGGTTTATTAATTAGACTACAGTGCCGCCTCACTAATCGTGGTTAACTAAATATATTTCAGATGTCATTGTTCAGAAATTGATTGTTACTCTACTTAATTTAATCAACAGAACTCATCAGAATACAAGGTATATTTTCAATTTACTCTGGAAGGATAAAACTCTTTTTACTCCTAGCACAGATTATAATGCTATGCAGACTTCTTCGAGACTGTTTCTAAATGAGAAAGCCACAGGTATTTTAATTACCTAACGTGTTATTGTTAGATTACTATGAGTTCTCTGGACTACTCAAGGAACTGGGGAAAAGACTCTTGGACTAAAAATTCTACTATATTAATCTTAGCAAACGATTCAAAAACTATAGTGAGGAGTTAAACAGGAACTAGAAAAAGCGTATTGCTATGCGCTGACTCCAAAATGTAAAGTGTCCCTGAAATATTAAACGGTTTGAGACAGAAACCAAAATAATTTCAACTTTGAATGAACAAATACAGTGATGTCAAAACGGAAACAAATGTTTCCACTGCAATATGAAACAATAAGAATGAAAAGTAGATATCTAGTAACTAACCTGCACGAAATGAGAACTTTGTGTACGTTTAATCACACATGGACTTAATTCCAAATTAGAGCGTAGATTGGAAACGCTATGAGCTGTCTTAATCATGGATAAATAAATACAGCTAAAATTTGTAACAGAATACATAAATGTATTATTAGGATATACTTAACGATAATGATAAAGTAACGAGAAAACCAGGATATAATGAACTGCGTGGAACAAAATAACAAATTCATGCTATCAGTTGACGGCTAGATGGTACGCACGTTCTACAACGACGGATTACGTGTGAAATAAAAGTATGATAAATACGCACGGCATTTCTTCAATTATTGGCTCAAAAGTAATTCGGATGACCTCATTTCGTTTTAGAAGCATTATTTGATGCCTTTGTAAATGGTATAGGAAATCTGGTACTTTGCGTACATGGCAAACGCCAATGTGAAAAAGATTACTCACGAATACCTTTTGGTCAATAATCCTTTGGGAGATGAAATAATATCATTTGAATCGCAACTATATACTTTTGTTTTATGAACCAAAGTTAGAAGGTAACCGTATAGAGATAAGGTTGAGTGTTTGTATGGTGCATCTACAAGCTTTGGGTAGCATAAGCTTCTTAAGAAAATCAAAATCATACAATTCACTCAGTCAGTCAGTCAGCTACAACGTAGGACCAGGCACATTTATGCATCGGTTCATGTTGCCATACCTCATTAACACAACAAGATGGACACCGGATTCATAAAAGTAGTTAATTCAGAGGTGGTAGTATATAAAAGAAAGATTGCAATAAGGATATAGTACAGGTAAAAAGAATTAGTTCGTAGAAAGAAGGATATGAAGCGATTTTAATCTCACGGTTTAAAGGAAGACAGAGAGTGTATACACCTACGCCATTGTGATCGATTCTGAGTCATGTCACCAAGAGTCTCCAACCATTGATTACGACAGTCACGCGGACCCCAACCAAGTAATCTGCATCTACCAACATGGCTCAGACTATAAGTTAGTGACTTTAAGCACTGATGCCACATTTTGGTTTGGCCGCCCCTCACTTTCTTTCAACCATCCCGAACGCCGGTTAGCATTGCACGTCGTGGTAATCGGTGTTCAGGCATACGTAACACGTGGCCCATCCCTCTCAGTCGATGAAGATTCACAACCTCATCGACTGATTTACCATCATTCCCTAATATCCTGCGTCTAACCTCACTATTACTTATCCACTAATCTCAGCAGATGCGAGCAATATTTCTAAGGCATCTGTGACCAAATACTAGTAGTTAACGAGTATCTTCTACTCTTAATGGCCAAGTTTCGCAGCCGTTAAGTGGAACAGAACGAACTGCTACGCAGTATACTCGTCCTTTTATTGATAGACGGATATCTCGCCTTCGCCATAGGTGACGTAAGTTGGCAAAAGCCAAGCGAGCTTTTCGAATCCGTGCTGAGATTTCGTCAGACACCAACCCATTGGAGTTAATCAGACGTCCAAGATAAGTGAAGTTGTCAACGCGTTCGACTACTTCACTCCCTATCCTTAGTTCAGGTGTTGACGCAGACCAGTCCTGAAGCAACAACCTGCATTTAGAGGGAGAGAAGCGCATTTCAAACATTCTGGCTTACTGCTACCAGAAGACTGCATTCTATCAGCGTCTTCACCAAACAGGACTATGTCATCTGCGTATTCTAAGTCGATAAGTGGACCTCATGGAAGGAGATCAATACCCAAGAATTCAGTCGACGAGAATGTTATTTCCATCAGTAGGTCTATGATGAAGTTAAACAAAAATGGAGGATGTAGACAGCATTGACGAACATCACTTGAGGATGCAAAAACAGATGACAGTTCGCCATAAGCTCTGACTCGACTAGTAGTGTTCGAGTAAAGAGCCTTCACAAGGTCTATGTACTCCTGAGATACGCCTTTCAATGAAAGACACTGCCACAGAATCTCGCGGTCTACCGAGTCAAATACTGCTTTCAAGTCAAGAAAGACCACCATTGTCGGACGCCGCTAAGTATGCCTATGTTCTAGAACCTGATGAGTGGTGAATATGTGGTCGATGCAACCACGACCAGGTCCGAAGCCAGCTTGATTAGTCAGTCATAAGCAACATATGTAAATTGATACAAGCTATCATACTATTTGAAGATATGAAATTATGAGAAAAAAGTAAAGGGATTTACGTGATTGGACCGTAAAATGTGAATTGCATTACTGAAGCACAAAGCAAATTCCACCAGCTTTTAGATCAGATTCAGTGCCAATATTACCCCTGACCCAATAATTATGTATGAGCATTAAAAATGCTACCGTAGGTACAAAGGTGAACACTAATTTTTAGGTGTCAAAATAACTGAGTACACAGAATGTACTGATTCTGAGCACAGAAGTTAAACAAAGAATTTACTGTTGCTAAAAGCTTACTAAGTAAGGTATCAAGAGACACCACATAAAATTAGACGACAGTGCAAAGATATGAGGAAGGCCGTACATATGTACAACGTCGAACCTGGCGCATTGCTTACATAGGTTTAAATTGCGACATCTCATGAGCACAACGAGATGAACTTGGGCTAACAGAAGAAATGTCTCGTGGACACTAACAAACAGATAACGTGATTTTTTAGGTAGAATAGTGCGCCAGATAGCGCTTGATATGCTTGAAGTATCAGTTAATACTAACTTAAAGGTCGATAGAAAGAGTGGAGCATATTAGACGTCCATTAGGATAACAAGTTGCTAAAATAAAAAATCTTCAGAAAATCAAGTAACATCAGACGTTTTTAGGACTTGATAATACCCACAAATCGATTATATTCTCAGACGACGGATACGCATTATGTGTCACAAATCTAAATAACTGAGGAACCCCGAAGTTTTATGCCACATACACACGGGCAGCATATGCCAAGTTGATGATTAAACGCGCCAAATACCTAACAACGGTTTGAGAGATCAATGCTCAGAAGGTAAGGCATCACAAAGTAAATACGGTCACAAAAATCAACAAGGAATTAATGAAGTGTCAAACAACCCTGGTGTTCGGAAAAACGTAAGGCATATTGAGATTAAAATACACTGTACATAATATACTAAACAAGATCACTATGAGGACCTTGAAGTCTCACCAATCAAATGATACTTCCTTAATGATACAAACCAACAATAAAACCAGACCCAACTCACTCGGACGGTAAAATCACACAATGAACAAAATGAGTCTACGCGCGCATACAGAACCAAATGCAAAACCGTCAAGGTCACATATCGGCATGATAAAACGACATGACAAATTCTTAGCACCATAAATCATTGATGTTCGTTAAATCACATTATCTTGAAGCTATAAGGTCCGAATTTAGTGAAGGACTGGTTTTAAAGTTGATTCAGTTCCATTTAGAGTGAATCTTGGGAATGGTCTATAACGAGTGGGTTGGCATATCACAGGTTGATATGTTGATACAGAACGCCATACAGTTCACTTTCCTGTCCTCTTGGAGAATAAAAAACATATTTTAAACAGGTTTTTTCAATGCAATTTATAGCTTGTTCCACGAAATCTCATTGTTTGCTAGTTTTTCCTGTAAATGTTTGGCTGCGTTACATCACAAACCCGAAGTTAATCTGCTCTCCGTTGAATACATTAATAAAAGACCAAATGATTTCGCAGCAGTGACTTGTGAGCAAGTGTCACGTTTCTAGAATTCTTTGAGATGTTTTAAGATGTATATTGTTTAGTTAATTCTATGTTGCATCTATATGAAACCAAAACATCCGCCAACTTAGGCAGTCTAGTCAAATATACTAGGTATCAATAATAAGACTAGACGTGCGGCATATTAATACTGAATGGCCGTCTTCTTTTGTTTCTGTATGGTACTTACGATAGCCCTTTCTATGTTATTTCATTCGTATGAATAGGTTACACTAATATTCAGTCTAAACCACAGACGCTCTATCAGCTATCTAACTATGTAACTGTGCAGTCAAAACAATGGTTCTTAACATGCAATTGATATGCAGAGTTCGAGGACATGATAAAAATATTTGTAGTTGATCCTAAAATTCTTGTTTTCCATTCATTTACACGTTTTCATCGGCTTCTATGGGAGCAAGTAGAAGCAATACATAAGAATGCAACCCCGAAAACTGAAAACTATTAAAAGCAATTGTTCCCAATGTCTCCATATCTCAGTACTCCTATAATCAATTTATTTACATAGACAACGAGTGTTACAGGAGAACTGAAGACATTTGGCGGATTAAAACCTATTTATTTTATATTAATAATTTACTGTGTTTTTGGATGTATTTGTTTTACTTAACCTTTGAACTTGTTTGTTTATATCATTAATTCGAACATTTTGGTATCCCTTTGTCGTTGGTGTGGTATTTGATAGTTTTGCTCCGGGAACCTACAAAATTGAAGGTTTGTTTTGTAATTGTTATAATTATTGTTGTTAGAACGACATTTGGTCGACTATTTGTGAATGTATGTAGTAGTTTTTATAATGTTTGTGGTTAGTACAAGAGATAGAGATTACACCTGTTGTGTTGGACTTAGCAGCCGTTCATACCTAAACTGCTGTTTCAGAAAGAAGAGAATCATATTTTATAAACCTACTCTACGTTGAAAACGTTCCCCATAACCGTAGCAGCTGATGTCGCGCAATGTTTGACTTGTGCAAATATGAAACAGATCACTCAAATTACATACTATATACGCTTACAAAAGTCACTGTAAACGCACAAAACATCGCATTTCCCCACAAACTGTGATTACGCCTGCTGTATTCAGTGTATATTGATGTAAACTTAACAATCAGGGTATATGTATGTGTCATGTGACTGCGTTTATCTACAAGATCCAAATACGCTACATGTGCAGGTACTTCCCATTACAAAGAGCTTCCGCGTCTAACTCTTATCGACAGAAGACACCCATCTCGAATTCCTACTTTTGGCCCACAATACTCTGTTTTAAAACGGCAAAACGTCCTACTAACCTTTGATACAGAAATATGTTAAACCAGCTATAGCCATCAAATATCAGGCGATTGCTACCTCTGGTGTCAGACTTTGCCTCATATGCATACAGAAAGCGAAGTTTAATGATATATATTTCAATGTATTTATAAAGATGTACCTACAAACGTTGACAAAAACTTATGTAACTGGGTAACAGCACTATTCTAATTCATTGAAAGTAGATATTATTTCAAAATACGATTCATCAGTTCGCGCAGTTTCATTCTAATCATGCTCAAGGGAAGATTATTAACTAGACTCTACCGGTCGTTAACAGTCAGATGCAGAAATTGTTTAACTCATGATCGTGTGGTGCGTATAATTTTGAATTTAGCGTTCTGAAATCCAGAAAACTATAATTTGAAAAGATCAGTGATGACAATTTTGAACTGTGGTTGTATGTATGCAGTTTGGCCAAAGTGGATTAAAGTAACCCCAAACCCATCTATTACCTAGACAAACTGATAGACTTGGTGTAAGTTTAACTTGATAAGGTAGATTAATCACCTTCAAAGCCACCTCAAGTACATGGAAGCCTAAATTATAATAATTACAAGCCCCACAAATGAACAATGTTAAGTTGTTCGATTTGGGGGTAAATTCTAAAATGAGCTCGTAACTAACAAATGAAACAGCAAAATCATTTCAACCATATAAATGCTTGTGTATTTTTCAGATGCTTGACTCCGGTTGCTTTTTTCCATTGTTTTTCATTACTTGGCTTCGCAATACATTTTGTTGTTTTTTAGGTTATTGACCACAACTGTCGTTAAAATTTATATTTTTCTTTGCGTTATCTCAACAACAGATATGTAATAACTTTGCACGTTAACGTATCAAACACCACTAATGCACATAAAATGATAGATATATATTTGTACGTGTGAACAATGCATCTCAGAAAAGAGTATCGTGAACCAATGGTCCTTTCGTACTTGACAACTGCCTGATCTTGAATTTCAAACACAATGCGTTCGTTTGTGCTCATTTGGTTCTTCTTAGCCCAAATTACACTGTTTCGGGAATTCTTAGATCACATAATGATTCAAATACGTTGCGATCGAGTTTGTAATGAAACAGTTGGACATACGTTCAAATTCATTGAGGGGTTGTAGAGCAGATCACGAAGAAGAGCACATGTTCGAAAAATGATTGTTCTGTGGAAGATTTCCATCATGTAATTTACGTAGGTTTCGAAATGCTAAGTGCTTTGAATGTGGTAAAATTGGACACATACGGGTAGTTTAGAATACCACCATACATTTTGTTGCAGCTTATGCAAAACTTTATAACCTTGATCCTATTATGTCTAATGTTTCAAATGAATCATACTGTGATCATGTTCATGATATTATTTCATAGCAGCTCACGTACAATTGAGGTTGTTCACATTTAATTCGGTTAAACTTTTTCTTAACTTATTTAACAGACAGAGTCATTCGTAAAAAAACAACTTATCTATACCATTGTATCTTTATTATTGTTGCACTCGTATGAGTTTGTATGCTTCGACATCGCATACTGCCCACGCATATATTCATTCTGCTAGCTTTACTATCGGTCGTTTAATTGATTCGATGATTCATTCATTTTATTATGTATATATAGGTAAATTGTAATCCTGTTCACTCACTCGCTTTCCCACTTGCTTTTCAGCACTTCTGTTTCATACTTGCTTAACGTACCTGTAATTTTGGTGATTTGTGCGTGGTGTAATCATAAACGCGAACAACACTTCGTACTCGTCTTCCTATTTATACACCGTCGGGGACATTATCTAGTGACGGTTATCAGGACGAAATGTACACAAAGTTTAAAGATTATATCGAGTACCGACCACTATAATTTTACCAGATGTGTGTTCTCATGATTCATGTATTTTTAATGAAATTATTTAAAATATGTCGAAGATATATCGAGTGTGCTAAAACCCTGATCAGATCTCTGACGTTATTTTATCTGATGTCGTCTCTCCTAATGATTCACTTATTTCTGGTGAAATATTAATTAAATGAGAGGAACAAGTTCTAAATGAGTTAAAATCTAAATACGTTGCGTCATGTGTTACTTGTCCTTACAATGGATTTATTTCTAGTCTTATTATTAATGAATGTAACAAATATGTTCCAAATGAGTCGAATTCTAGTCACATTTTTTATGCTGTTGTATAAAGTGTTGACAATTCTCGTAACAAATGTATGATGAAAAGAATCCTTAGTAAGTGGTATGATGAATCATAGGGAATAGCAAAATTTTCCAAAGAAGTCAGAGAACCAGTGCGCCCAGATTTTAAGTTTGCACAGTCAAAAAGTTCAGACTGTTACGTCCAAGTTTTGCTCGTCCCAGTTATTGAAGTACGGACTATCGATCTACTTGCAAATTACGAACCCAAATTAACAACAGAACCAAGTTCCAATTTAGATACCAAATTTATTCGTAATTCACAAATAATCGACCAAATGTCGTTCTAACAACAATAATTATAACAATTACAAAACAAACCTTCAATTTTGTAGGTTCCCGGAGCAAAACTCCCAAATACCAAACCAGACAAAGAGAGCACCAAAATACCAAACCAAAATGTCCGAAATAATAATATAAACAAACAAGTTCAAAAGTTAAGTAAAACAATTACATCCAAAGGCACAGTAAATTATTAATGTACAATAAAAGGTTTTAATCCGTCAAAAGTCTTCTGTTCTCCCGTAACACTCCCGACCAAAAGAACCTTGGTTCTTTTCAGATAAATAAATAGACAACAAGAATCCAAGTATATACATCACAAACAATCAACAACAAACACTCAATATACCAACAATCTCGTGATCCCTAGGACTTACACCAGTACGCCTAGGGATCCGAGTAGCTACCTGATATCTACAACTTCTATACGCAGTTTTCTAATATCTCTTACCGAAATCCCTACGCTTGTCCGCAACTCCATCAGTCTTAACCCATCACTAATAGGTATCACTTTCCTTACCAGACCTAATAACCATTTGTCTTTCTCTAAAAACCCAGTACATGTCGTCACCAAGTTACTCTCTCCTATGTTCATCTCTGGTTGAGTCCATTTGTGTCTAAGTTGCAATAATGAAACATATTCCTTAGACAAACGTTTCCAAAACATTTGCGCCAACATAAACAACAGCAATATCAACCATCTAACAAAATGCTTCATCCTCCATAAAAGCTTATATACGCTAACGTAAACATGAA